TCTTCAGAAAAGAAGGGTCTAGGCCCGAAACGTCAGCTTTCCTGCTCCTCTGATGCTGCTTGGCCTGCTGTATTCATCCAGCTCTACACCTTGTTGTCTTACTCTGCTGCCATCTTGCTGGAAAATAAGTTTAAAATTTAAAATAATATTTAAGTGAACTAAAAGCTTCTTTATCATTTAAAAATGTAATAATTAATGGTCTATTTATTCAGTGTAATGACCTTAAGTGATGTTGTTACTGTTTAAAAGACGGGGAAGTGGAACCAGCTGAGTTGGCCTTGCAAAGAGCTGACATTTACATGACGGGCCAAATGGCCTCCATGTGTAATGAGGATATTCTGTGATTCACTGATGGCTTAACTGCCATGAAGGAAGATTTCTGGGAGGGAAGCTTCTAGGTCAAAGGATTTGTGTGGGTAATTTGGAGGATTTGATGGATTTGTGCTCAGAACGCTAGTAATGAAGAAAATAATGGTACTAAAGAGTGATAGACCCCTGAGACTAAGCGGTTTCCACTTGGGGTTTTAAAGGAAGTTGGTGAGAATACTACAGTTGGACTATTAAAATACTGAACTTCCTGAATTTGGGAACAGTAAATGGCAGGTCATTCCACTTATTAAGAAAGGTAGGAAGGGAAAATAAACTCATTGGTTTAACATCTGTTTGTGTTAAATTTCTAGGGACTATAATTAAGCAAAGAGTGACTGAACACCTTGGAAAATTTTAGGCTGATTGGAAAGCATCAGCAAGGATTTGTAAAGATTGATTATGTGTAACAAACCTGATTGAACTTGTTGAAGCAATGTAGATGACAACATAGGATCATAGAATATCTACAGAGTGGAAGTAGGCCATTTGGCCCATTGAGTCTACATCGACCCTCCAAAGAGCATCACACCCACACCCACCCCCTACCCTATTCCTGTTACCCTGCATTTCTCATGGCTAATCCACCTAAACTACACATCCCTTAACACTATGGGCAATTTAACATGGTCAATCCATCTAACCTGCACATCTTTGGAGTGTGGGAAGAAACCGGAGACCCAGAGGAAACCCACACAGACACAGGAGAATGTTCAAACTCCACACAGACGTGAGATAGCAGTGCTAACCACTGAGCTACCGTGCTGTCCCTTTTTCCCTACACCCTATTCACTCCCCTCACACAGCCCCATGTACACTTTCCCAATCGCAGTCTCAACACCACTATTCTTAATGTTTATGCATACTAGAAGAACTTCCATAAAGCCCTTCAAGTTGAATCTTATGGGATTGAAGGTAAATTATTAATCTGTTCAGGGAATAACCTGAATGGCAGGAGACAGAGTAGACATATTGGTAGATATTCCAGTTGACAAGTTGTGACCAGTAGTGTTCGGCAAGAATCTGTGTTAACGCCTTAACTGCTCATTGTATTTAACAGAGATTTTGACGATAGTGTAGAAGGTACACACCCAAGTCTACTAATGACACAAAGATATGTGGCACTGTAAACAGCATAGATGAAAGCGTAACATTACAAAGGGATAAATATAGATTAAGTGGCAAAATTGTGTCAATAGTTTTCAATATAGGAAATGTGAGGTAATCTATTTTAGACCTAAAAAAGATGGATCTGTATGTTTTCTAAATGATGGAAAATTGGAGGCAGAGGAGATACACAGGCACTTGTGGGTCCAGCTACATAGATTATTAAAATGTCATGAACAGGAGTAGAAAATAATCACATAGACTGATGGAATGCTGTCCTTTATATTAGGGACTGGAGTACAATGGGGTGAAAGTAATGCCACAGACTTGCAGTATACTGACCAGTTCTGGGCACACATCTTAAGAAGGATATATTAGTCTTGGAGGGAGTAAAGTGTAAATTTACTAGAATAAACATGAATCCCTAGGGTTAAATTATGAGAAAAGGTTACATAAACTTGGGTTGTATTCCCTGGCTTTTAAGATGTTGAGGAGTGGTTTCAGATAGGCCCCTTGCCGCTCACTTCCAAAAATCTTGCCTCACAGCTCAATACTTGATTGGAAAGTGTGACTTATTTCTGTCGACATTGAGAAGCTCCTTCCTGCCCACCTCACACAATTTTCACAACTTTCTTGCCAATGCCCAGCCATTCAGTGCCTGAAAATATTCTGTCCTAAGTGTTTTTTTATTCATTCTCAAAATATATGTGTCACTGAGAAAGCCACCTTTCGTTGCCCATCACTAGTTGCTGTCGAAGGTGGTGGTGGTCTATTTGAGGGGCTCCCATAATGCTGTTGGGTAGGCAGTACAAGAATGTCAATGAACACATAGTGACAATCTCCAAATTATAAGAATATGTAACTAAGAGAGGAATTTGGAGATGGTGATGTTCCTCTCCATTTGTACTAGTCTTAATAGATGATGGAGGTTAACAATTTAGGAGTTACGACAAAAATGACACTACCTGTAAAATTCCTCTTAATGTTCTTGAACTCTCAAAGGATCTTCTTTTGCAGCAGAAAAAAAGCAAGAAGAAAATTTAGTCAACCTCAAAACAACAACATGTGTTCACATAGCACCCTTCTATGAAATGAAGTGACTGAAGACACTTCGTGGGAGGGTGAGAAAGCAAAGATTGTCAATGACCACATGAGGAGATATTGGGGATGATGTTCAAAAGCTTAGTCAAAGAACTGGGCTATTAGGGAGCCTCCTAAAGGAAGAGGGAGAGAGTGAGGTGGAGAGAATTAGGCAGGGAATCCCAGAAGGATTAGCAGCTGAATACACAACTATCAGTTGTGAAGTAATTAAAATTCAAGATGGTCAAGAGTCCAGAATTGGAGGGGTGCAGATATCTCTGAAGACTGTGGACGAGACTGCCAAAATTTACAGTAAGTGCACCTGTGAGGATGGAGACATACATAAATTGGTATATGGATAAAAGAACAACATAACTTCGAGGCAGAATTGTAGCCAGTATCTTTTTTTAATGAAACTGTCTCAGGAATTTTAGTCGTTTTGCAAAACAAAAAGTTACAAAAATAATTATTTTTGGACAAGGTCAGGTCCAACTATGAGCCCAGATTCAAATTATCATGAAAACAAGCAAAACTATTTGTAAAATGATATATAATTTTTGTCTTGTTTTTTTTAGTGAGGGAAAGCAGATCCAGATATTTCTCATGAATGTATGCTGTGATTACTGTTTCACCCCTAGCCACACTGGACAATTTACTCTGATTACACAAGCTTCATTAACATATTATGATAGTATACATATCTATGAAGCTGA